AGCAGACTTTCCCAATGCAGTTCATCTTAAAGATTACTGCCTAGAAAATTTTAGATGTAGTCCTCATGTGTCACTTTAAGTTACTATAAGACTGAATAGATCCAACAGGACCAAACAATAACTGGAAACTAGCATATGTTTCAAAAAGAACTTTCATTTGAATAAATAAGCAAAATGGCTCATGTAGCAGAGAGTTTATCTGTTCCTTGATCAAGGAATTTCTTATAAAACACATCTAATGTTTTTGAACATTCACTTTCATGAACCACTTTCCTAGGGTTTTAGTGATAGAATCATCACTGTTTCTTGAATATAATATGTTAAATCCCCCCACAGCTTATTTAGTTATTGATATTTATTAAAGTAGTTGTTGTTTTTGTGTGCCTTTGAGTTGGAACTGACTCATAGCAGACCCTCCAGATGATTTTTGGAGACAGTAAATTGCACAGGAGGAGACTTTTTCTCATAGCGAAGCTGATGGATTCAAATACCATGCCTTTGGGTTGACAGCATAACTCCTCACTACTAGATCATCAGAGCTCCCTTATTAATATAGAGTCCTATGTAACAGTATTTCTTTTTGTGTCACTTGTATCTTGGTTTTGTCCTCTTTCTTATTCCTAATTTCTGAATGTTGTCATGATTTACATTCCCCTTCTCTCTCCACACAGATAGGCTACACAACATTGAATATATTTAAGTGGGTTTTCAGAGACCAAGATATTTGTAAAAATCAGTACTTTATTATTATAAATTATTGTGTATATATAAATGAATGTGTATGTGTATGCTAATGCATTTTCTATGAACAGAATGGACAAATTTATTTTCTTTTTTTAAAAAATCAGGTCTGTCTTAGAGAGAGTGAAACCAAATTTCTTCTTGGAGGCAAGAATTTTGAAGCTCCATCTCACTAACTGGGCATGTGGCCAGAAGGGACCAGTCCTTGGAGAAGGATATCATGCTTGGAAAGGTGGGGGGACAGCACAGGAGAGAAGAACCCCAGATGAAATGGATTGACACAATAACTGGGGCAGCGGGGAATGATATGTGTGGGTCAGTGAGTGCTCAGGACAGAGCAGGCCTCAGAGATATTTTACATAGGGTCACTATCAGTAGCCGGCAAGGCGATGGCACACAACAACAATAATATTGATGACTATGATTTTTTTTCTTATGAGGAAATGCGTTATACTACTTTGAAGTGTTTTTCTAGGCACTAGTTTCTCTTCTCTTCCCCTACAAGAGTATTTTACAAAAAGTATGAGTGTGTTGGAAATGACAAGGTTGGCACAGGATTTGTTAGGGCTCTTGTACATAGGGTCGTTCTGAGTCACAAGTGACTTGAGGGCACATACAAGAAGATTTATTTGATGTACATTTCTACCTAAACTGGGACTGTTAATTCTCTGTACTAACAATTTTGAATTAGGACTAAATATTAGGACAGCAATTTTTCTTTTATGATGAACATATTTTACACTTAGCATACACTCATCTGAGTTCAGATACTGCTGTGTCATGAATTTTACAGTTTCTTTGCAGGGAGGAAGGTCTGGTGCATTATATGTTGAGCTGCTCACCAAAAGGGTAGTAGTTCAAACCCAATAATCATTCCTCAAGAAGAAGGCGAGATGGTATACTCATCTTTTCAGAGCTCATGGGGAGCTGGCATCTACTCAAGATTTTGTTACTTTTGGTGGGAAGAGAGTTGGTGAAAATGCAGAGGGGAATCTGAAATAAAAACAGGATAGTTCATTTAACAAATTATGTGTCCCTTTGGTTTTGTCCTGGAAGGTCAGGGAAAAGGTAAGCCTAAGCTAGACTTGTGACTTAGAGTGACTTATGACTAAGCTAGTTCGCAAGGTGCCTACTGGTGATAAGCAAACTAATAGGTTAATGATGATTGTGCAGGGTCAAAATCCTGTGATACAAATAATCTTTCCTTAGCAGGAAGGTTGTTGCTGTTATTAGGTGCTGTGGAATCGATTATGATGCTCACAGACCATAATAGCAAGAAAGAAAGTTTCCTAACGCAGGTTTGGAGGTTTTGTTTGGGTTCTCCTACCTGTTTTGCCCTGGGCTTAGCGTGGCATTAAAAAAGAGTCAAGAAAAGTTTATAGTTGAATGTAGAACTGTCTAAAATGAAAAAAGAAACACCACTGCAAGTCCAAATGCCAAATTACTCATCTCTTTCTCACTGCTATTGAGTTGGAATCAACTCATAGTGGATCCTCCTTTGAGTTTCCAGAGGCTGTAAATCACATGAGGGGAGACTGACCACCTGTCTCCCCAACAGCTGCAAGTGGATCAGAACTGCCAGAGAGCTGTGGCCCTTGGGTTAGCAGCACAAATTCCTATGGTCTGCACCCCCAGAGCGCCCTTACAGAAATTATCAACGTTCTCACAGTTGAAATACTATGACCTTCTAGTCATTCCTGCTTTATTATCTCATACTTCAATCACATACCTATATTTTTGTTGTGTGAAAGGTTTTACTCTTTAAAAATAAACTCAGGTTTAAATCCAATTTGATTAAGTCATAAAAGTCCTGTGCTTTCAGTTCATCTAGTACTTTCCATTTATGCCTCATTCATATAGATATTTTATTTCCCTATGGACAACTACCAGTTTATTGGTGCACTTTACAGTCTTTTTAGAAAGTCATATGTTAATAAAATCACATAGTATAGGCAAATAGTGCCACAAACACTGCTACATAAATGGGGAATTCTGGTGAGGTTCATGTAGCAGAGGGTTACCCTGCCCATTGATCAAGAAATTCCTTATGAAACATGTCTAATACTTTTGAGTCCCTTCATCAACCACTTTCCCAGGATTTTGGTGATAGAACCATCATTATTTCTTGAATATAATATGTTAATTTGTTAGGCTTATTTAGTTTGTGATATTCAAGTTTACTGATATACAAGGACACCTATGGTAGATAACATATATGTTGTTACTGTTGTTAGGCACCGTTTGAATCACTGACAGTTTCACTTTCTCCATCTATTATGATGTTGACTATTGGCCCAGTGGCAAGATCCTTTATTTTCTTGATGTTAAATTGTAATTAATATTGAAGGCTGTAGTCTTTGATTTTCTGCGGCATGAGTTTCAGGTCCTCCTCACTTTCAGTAAGCAATGCTATGCTATGTAGTCTGCAGGTTGTTGATGAAACTTTCTCTCATCCTGATTCTAATAAGAATAACAACAACAGTGCGAAGGACTTGTGTTGTCAACTCAAAGTCATGCAGTTAGAGGCTCTGTGGGAGAAAGATGGGACATCTCCTTTCAGGCAATTTACAGTCCCTCAAAATCCACTGGAGGGTCAGCTATGGGTTTGTTCTGCCCATAACATGTTAAACAAGAACAACATATAAATGCAACAATACTACTGAGGCTAAACTACTATAAATACTACAGCCAGAATGCTCCTTTTAGACAGAGATGACAGAGCTTTGCCTCACATACTTTGGGCATGTTGCTAGGAGAGGCTAATTTTTTGAGAGGGACACCAGGCATGGAAAGGTGAAGGGACTGAGAAAGACAGGAAGACTCTCAGCCAGATAGATTAACACAGATGGGAGCAGGTATGTCTGAGGTGATGAGAATGGCATAGGACAAGAGAGGGTTCAAATGGATTATTCATAGGGTCACTGTGAGTTTTACTTGACTGCACACAACAACAACCACCACCACCACCACCACCTTTATACCGTATATGCAAATATTCTTCCTTATACTTTAATACAGGAAAAATAAATTTGACTCATGAAAAGTGATTTAGAGATGTCAATCTGGGTAACATCTTCCAGTTTAAAATGTAATAAAAAGGAGAAGGATAATTTTAAGAAAAGGGGAAAAGCGAGCTAAAGAGAGAATTGTTTCGGTGCTTGAGGGTGAAGATGGGGATGGATGTTTTGAGTTGAAGACTGAGAAGTTGTCAACTTATCTATAGAGTATATTATTCCAAGGTGTAAGGAGTTTACAATGATCATGGATGATGAAGAGTCAGTAAAGGTGACAGCGGTCACACTGAAGGGAGACTCCTACATCTCTAGTGGCAAGCTGTTGTTGTTCTAGGTGCGTCAAATTGTGGAGTTGAGTATGATTCATAGCGACCTTATGAATGACAGATTTGAACCCTGCCCTATCCTGTGCCATCTTCAATATCTCTGATACACTTGGACCCACCGATCGCTGCAGCAACCACGTCAATTCATCTTGTTGGGAGTCTTCCTATCTTTTGCTGACCTTCCACTTTTCATAGTGGTAAGGATCTGCGCTGCCAACACAAAGTTAGGCAGTTCAAATCCACCAGGTGCTCCGAGGGAGAGAAAAATGGACAAGCTCCTCCCAAACTATGTACTGCCTTCAAAAACCCGCTGGAGCATCAGCTATGGGTCAGCTCCCACGGAACGGTACAAAACAACAAAAGTCTAAGTGGTAGAAATCGCCTTTTCTCTTTCTCTGTGTGTAGACAAAAGCAGCAGAATTCAAACCAGGCTCAGGGACCCACTTACCACGTCTAAGAACCTGTCCCCCTCCCAGAATATAGAAACAGGTTAACAGGCTTGTCTGTGGGTGGAAGGCTCAAATGCTCATTCGGTGCCAAGCTGTTTGGCTTGTGTCCAGCGAACATGGGCAGACCCCAGGTAGAAGAGAAGCAGTCCTGGGAGTCCGCCCCCTGGCACAGGCAGCAGGCACCGGGCACCAGCACGGAGCACTCGACTGGCTCCGAGGCTGCGCCCAGCCCCACCGCGCGCCCCCTGGGATCTGGTTTCCTCGGAACGCTGGTGGTTCCAGCGCAGAGCACACTGGGAGGAGGAAACCGGCAGAAGCCACTCCAAAATCTGCGGTCCAAGGCCCCTGCCTCGGCCACCTGCCTGCAAGACTCTTCACTTTCGTTTCCCAGCATCGCCTTCCTTCACCGCCCGCAGTCTGGTTTCATTTCCTAGGCGCGGTCAGAGGGAGGGCAGAGGGGAGGTGGCCCCATGGCCTTTGCCAGTTGCTTGTCTGCCCAGCTCCTGTTTAGACGACTCTCCCAGCCGTTGCTCCAGCAGCGCGGGGCCTGCGCGCGGACCATGGTTCTGGACCGCTGTTTCGCCCTGGAGCTCCCTGACTGCACTTTGGCTCACTTCACTCTTTGCACTGAGACCCGCGGCAGTGCTCTCGGAGCCTGTCAGCATTCTCGCCTGGCCGCGATTCTGGGCTCCCCGGGGCGCAGCTACTCCCTGTGCGTGCCTGTGGCACCCGAGGACGGCTATGGGGCCCGGGTCCGGGCAGCCAAGCTGCACCAGCGGCTGCTGCACCAGCTGCGCCGAGGCCCCTTTCAGCAGTGCCAGCTGCGAAGGCTGCTCTCCTACCTCCCCAGTGGCCGGCCTGGGAGCGCGCAGCAGGGCTTCCTGCTCCGTGACCCCCAGGACTGCCTGGAAACCAGGCGCGCTCTGATTGAGCTGCTGGGAGCCTGCAAGGAAACTCCGCAGCCCCACCTGGGGGAGTTTGAGACCGACCAAGATGGCCAGGTGTGGAAGCGTTTGTGGAAGCTGCAGGACGGTGGGTGGCAGGAGGTGGGTTGCGCACTTGTGATGCCCACACTGGAGCCCCCGCTGCACCCAATTTTGCCGGACCTACCCAGCTCCGTGGTCTTCCCCAGCCGAAAAGCAGCGAAGGCGGTGTTGGAGGCGGTAAGATACACTGGCCTGGAGGTGCCCTAGAAGTTGTTTGTTGCCTCAGTAGTATATTTCCTAAAGCTTGTGAACAACTGATATATGCCAAGTACTTTATTAGACACCAACTACATTAAATATTCTCCCCCCCCCCAGTTTTCACTTGTACAACTTATCTATTTGTATATGTATATGTATTCTATATTACATAGCTAATATATGAATATATATATGATTGGTAGAAATATATGCGCGCACACACATCCACACGTGCGTGCACTCAAACGCCACTGCAGGGGTATAAATCATTATAGAAGTTACAACTTCATTTATTTTTTTTCTCTCTCTGTTTCTTCTCTTTTAATAGTGGGATAGACTTGTGCGGCAAGGTTAACAGGTTTGCCCAGACCACTCAAGTTTGATTGTTCCTTCCTCTACTTCCCAGTAGGATGATTTCCCAGTAGTATGATCTTCTCTGTACTTTTCTTGCATTATCTTCCAACCATACTGCCTTCCTGCCCTCCTTCCAACCTTCCTTCCATCCTTCCTGCCTTTCTTCCAGCCTTCCTTCCTCTTTTCTCCCTCCCTCCTTGTTTCCCTCTTTCCCTTTCTTTCTTCCTCTGTCTCTTCTCTCTCCTTCCCTGCCTTTCTCCCTCCATCTCCCTTTCCCTTTCCCTCCCTTCCTTCCTTTCTCTCATCTGTGGAAAATCACTGGGTGCCTGTATGTTTTCCATTATGAATCACAAAATGTGTGATACAAGTACAGGTGGGACTCTTTATTTAAGAGAAGCACCACTGTGTTTGTCTTGGCTGCCTGTTGTGTTATGGTAAGGAGCCCTGATAGGTGGGGACTGGGCACCTAGCTAAAAGGTCAGCAGTTTGAACCCGCCAGATACTCGATGGGAGGAAGATGAGATAATCTTCTTGAATGAATGAAGATTTATAGCCTAGAAAACATGTGAAGGATTGTCACTTGTTCCAGCAGGACCTTGTGTGTGGTTTTAGTGTTACACTGTGCTGGACTTAGACATGTTTTCCTTTTATTGTAAACCTTTCTCTTTTATTGTAAACTGCTTTGTGAGGCCTGCAAACTGAGCAGTCTAGGTGAAGTGGCATCTTTGTGCAACCTTAGCTTCCAGGGAATAATAAGGCAGTTTTGACCATATGCCTAGCTGGTACCAACTACAACTAAATTTTATTAGCATTATTGTTGTTAGGTGCCCTGAGTTGAGTATGACTTATAGCAACCCTATGAACAACAGATCTGAACCCTGTCCTGTCCGGCCATCCTCACAATCTCTGACACCCTCAAGCCCTTTGCTGCAGTCACTGTGTCAGTGGTTGATAGTCTTCCTCTCCTTTGCTGTCCCTCCACCATTCCAAGCACTAGGTTCCTCTTCAAGGAATAACTTCACCTACAACCTGCCAAAGTATGTGAGATGAAACTTTATCATCTTTGCCTCCAAGCAGCACTCTAGCTGTACCTTCTCCAAGACCTACCTGTTTGTTTATTTGGCAATTCATGGAATATTCAGTACTCTTCTCCAACACCACAGTTCAAAGGTATCAACCCTGTTTCTATCATCATTATTCACTGTCCAGCTCTCAGATGCATAGCGAGTGAATGAAAAACCATGGCCTGAATCAGCTGTACCTTCCTTAGTCCTCAAACTGACATAATTTCTGCTCAATAATTTGGAGAGGTCCCTGACTACAGACATACTTTGGACAATTGCCACTATTTAATTGTTTATAATATACTTTGTCTTACAGTGTACATCTTTTATTCCTGAAGCCCAAGAGATACTTGACCTGGTTGATCAATACCCAAAACAAGTCCAGAAAGGGAAGTTCCCAGTTATTGCCATAGAAGGGCTGGATGCCACTGGTAAGAGAATACTCATTTTAAGTTATAGGCACAATATCAATGGGGTCAGCTATGGAAATGCATGAGTCTTATAAAAGGAAATATATGTTTTTTCAACTTTTAAAAAAAATGAAAATTTTAATGACAGTTTACAGCAAACTTGGATTTCCATTCATTCATTCTTGCACATTTTCCACCCTGCCCACCCCTCCCCCAGTTAGTTTTTCTCTTTGGAAAAAAAATATTCTTTCATTGTTATACAATCGCCCAAACCCAATCCACTTTAGTATGCAGCTATTATTCTGGATTCTTGTCATGCAAATAATACCTAATTATATATTCCTTTTAAACAGTTCTCTCCCTTACCTGTTCCAATGTCATGCATATTATTTATCCCTTCTTTTCTTAGTTTTCCCCTAACCACGATGTCGGTCCTGTTTTATAACAGTGGCATTATGCAGTATTTGTCCTTTTGTGACTGAGATATTTCACTCAGCATAATGTCCTCCAGGGTCACCTATTTTGTATATATTTTAAGAGTTCCTTGTTTTTCAATGCTATGTAGTATTCCATTGTGTGAATATACTATAACTTCTCTATCCATTCGTTTGTTGATGGGCACTTGGATGGTTTCCAACTCTTTGTTATTGTGAACAAAGCATGAATGTGCATATATCTCCTTGGATGGCAATTCCTGTTTCTTTAGGGTATATTCCTAGTAGTACAATTGCTGGATCAAATAGTATTTCTATTTCCAAGTTTTTGAATAAGTGTCATAGTGCCTTCTATAGTGGTTGCACCATTTTACACTCCCACCAACAGTGATTAAGGGTTCGAGTTTCTCCACAACCTTGTCAGCATTTGTTGTTTGCTGCTCTGTTGAATTTTGCTATTCTTACTAGAGTGAGATGATATCTGATGGCTTTGCTTTTCATCTCTCTTAGATCTAGGGATTTTGAACAGTTCTTCATGTGTTTGTACGCTATCTCAATGTCTTCTTTGATGAAGTGTCTGTTCATATCCTGTGCCCCAAAACCATTATATATTGTTAAACATGCTAAACTTCATATGAAGTTCTACTATGAATGAGGCATTATGCTAGGCAGATGTTGGGGTACAAGAAGAATTAGATCCAACATTCACTCTGTTAATAAATAATATTAGTATAAAGTAGTGATTTGTGGGAGAATAGAGCCAGTGATATGATGGCAGGACATAGGAAGGCACTTAGCACAGCTTTAGTGGAGGGTGAATGTGTAGTCAGAGACAGCTTCTGGAAAAGATGATACTGGATTGTGCTTTCACTATAGGTAAGAATTGGTCAGGAGATGAAAGTCAGGAAAGAGTCTCCAAACAGAAGACTTTGCAGGGACAAAGATACAGACTTTTCAACCAGATGGTGTATAAGGAAATTGTAAGCATACAGAGGCCCCTTTTAGGGCAAAATTTGGAAAAAAATCCCAACAAAACAACCCTAGGAAGTGCGAGGAAAAATGCCTTTTGAGCTGCAAAATAGATAGCAAAGTATATTAGCTGTATCCACACTTGGACCAACACGCAAGCCAGGAGAATAGTTACTGTTATACATGGGGTCATTATGAAATGGAACATGACAACATTTAAAAAACAACACAAAAGTCATAGGAGTAAGAGCTGTTGATTTGATTCCAGCTCTTATTTTTTTTTTAAACTCTGGTTTTAGTCTGTTACCAGGGCTAGTTTGAGTAAATTTGTTAACTTTTCCTTATCTGTAAAATTATTAGTCAATAAAATTATTTTATAAAGCACATGGTTTATGTTGTTGTATTTAGATATTGTTGAGTAGGATTTATAATGATCCTATAAATAATAGAGCTCCAGTCTAGTTCCATCCTTATCATCTCTGACATTTTGTTGTTGTTAAGTGCTCTTGAATTTTAGGCGACTCGTAACGACCCTATGAATGAAAGACCTGGACACCTGCATAACTTCATCCTTTCTCCAGGTTCATAGAGTTTCCAGAGGCAAGCTATTATGGAAGTGGATGCTATTCCTGCTTCCAGGCTTGTTTTAATCAGGGAGCTCCACCAAACACTGTCTACTGTGGGTAACCATTCTCGCATTTGACTCATCAGTGTCACAGTGTTCAGCTTCACAGGAACCTCAAGTTACCTCTGTACAGCAAGTGGACATACCAGCGTTATATGACCTAGAAGAATGTTTCACCAAAAACAATTAAAGGCAGGCCTGAAGTCTGGGATTAGAGTCACCCACCTTTGGCTTGGGAGCATGACTTTCTGTCCACTAGGCAAACTGATCTCTCTCTATGCTGTTGTTGTTGTTGTTGCTGTTAAGTGTCGTTGAGTCAGAGGTGACTCACAGTGACCCTATGAATGAAAGACCTGGTCACCTGTATAACTTTGGTCCTTTCTCCAGGTTCATAGGATTTCTAGAGACAAATGATTACATACTTGACATACTTGAGCCAATTATTGCAGTCACTGTGTCAATACATCTTGTTGAGGGGTCTCTACATTTCCAAATATACCTCTTTTCCTAGGCATAGCCTTTCATAACTTACATGCCAAAAGTATATGAGATGAAACTTCGCCATCCTTGCCCTAAGGAGCACTCTGACTAAACTTTCTCCAAGACATATTTGTTTGTTCTTTTGGCAAACCATGAGATATTTAATACTCTTCCTCAACATCACAACACACTGTATTGGGTGTGTCTTTTGATTTGAATACTGTATGACAAGGGTATTGATGAAGTAAGATGAAATTGCTGACAGTTTCAATCTTCTCCAACCACTATGACGTTGCTGACCAGTCCTTTTGTGAGGATTTTTGTCTTCCTGATTGTGAAATTGTAATTCCTATAGTAGGCTGTAGCCTCTGATCTTTTAGGACAAGCATTTCAAGTCCTCCTCGCTTTTAAAAATCAGAGTTGTGTCACCTACATAATGCAGGTTGTTGATGTCTTCTCAGATTCTGATGTTACATTCATCTTCATTAAGTCCAGGTCCTTGAATGACTTTATCAGCATATGGATTATATGGGTAGGGAGAAAGGATACAGCCCTGACCCATAGCTTTCTTGATTTTAAACCACGCAGTGTTCCTTGCTCAGTTCAACTAACAACTTCTTCATCTAGGTGTAGGTTTCATATGAGCATAATTAAGTGTTCTAGGATTTCCATTCTTTTCAATATTAACCATAGTTTGTTATGATCCACATAGTCAAACGACTTTGCACAGTGAATAAAACACAAGAAAATTGAAGAGAAGTAGAAGCAGATATGAGGGACTTGGTAGGGAGAAGGGGGTAAGGATAGTAACTACTTCAGTGGGGATGACTTTTATCTATTTTGCATACTTAAAGAAAAATAAAGGAAATAAACAATTGATAATAAAATGTTAAAAGTAAGAGACAGAGTACAAAAAAATTTTCTAAATTCACAGACGGAAGGGGTAAAAGTATCTTGTGGTAGACTCAGTTCTCATTGCTACTCATTCTGTGCCACAAGTTGCAGCACATAAATGTGAAATGGGTGCTGTGGGACAACCAAGGCAAGAGTGTACCTGATGGTATACACAGTGGAGCAGAAAACGAGGCGCGTATGAAGACAAAAATTCTCACTGGGCCAATTGGCAGCACCAAAATAGATGGAGAAGACATTTAGGTTCTAAGCAATTTTAATTACAGCTTGCTTGGATCCACAATCAACACTCTTACCACCAGCAGTCAGGAAATCAAAAGACGCATTGCACTGGGAAAATCTGCTGTCACGGACCTCTCCTGAGTGCTGAAGAGCAATGATGTCAGTCTAGACACAAAGGTGCTCCCAGTCCAGGCCATGGTGTTCTCAATTACGTGTTACGCTTCAGAGAGCTGAGCAATGACTAAGGGTGACAGAAGACTATATGCCTTCGAGTTGTGGTGCTGGAGAAGAATCTTTAACATACCATGGACTGTGAAGAAAACAAACAGGTCTGTCTTGGAGAGGATGAAACTAGCCTGGTGGCTAGAATTTTGAAACTCTGGCTCACTTACTTTGGGCACATGGCCAGGAAATATTGGTCCTTGGAGAAGAACCATCATCATCAGAAAGGTGGACGGACAGCACGGGAGAGGAAGACCCCGTATGAAATGGATTGATACAGTAACTGGGGCAACGGGGGTTGGTGTGTCGGAATTAGTGAGACTGGCTCAGCACAGGGAAGGGTTCAGAGCTGCTGTACATAGGGTTGCTATATATCGTAGGTGACTCAACAGCACATAACAACCATAACATACAGTGATAGGTTTGGAAGCAGGAGTGAAATCCACTTCCTAAACAACATGCCTGTGAAAACTCTATGAACTTTGATAAATTTCAATAGTTGTAAGAGGGGCTTCAGGCCTTTTCTTCATAGGGTCGCTATAAGTCATGCTCTACTCAAAGTCAATCAACAACAACAACAACAACAAAAACAACATCAACAGGAATCACATCTATGAGGGAGAATCTGCACCCAGAGCCAGATACACTGGATCTAAAAGCCAACTCCAAAGTGGCGGGAACCAGGTAGAATGATAAGTCTAGGGCTGGCAGTGGAAAGAAACTGAAGGGAAGTGGAAGCAGGGTATGAAGAACTTGGTAGGGTGATGGGGCCAGTATAGTGACTGCTTCAGTGGGCATGCCATTCCTGAGTTATACTTTGAAGCCTGACTGTGTTGAGATTCAACACATGAGAATGTCCAAGGATGAATAGGGAGTGGCAACATATTGTGACTCAAAATGAAAGCAACATATGTAGAGAAGGTAAGAGACTTATGAAAGATGAGGTAAAGCTTATAAAAGAGGGCCTGAAGCTTCAAATATAAAATTTATCTTTACTTTGGGAAAAAAAAAAAAGAGAGAGAGGGCCGTTGTGTTTTTCATCAACTTTTGGAGCAACCTCCTGGTTGGCACTTTTGAGACAGTATACATAGTAGAAGATTGTTCCAAGTGCCACAGAAACACACATATAAGTTTGTTTCAACTTTATAATACTAAAAAAACTAAATGCCCATCTACTGGAGAAAAAAACCCCACAACCAAATACTGGTATGTTTCTAAAACATGCTATACAACAGCATAGACAAACAGGTGAAATAGCCCAAGTTCCTTCATGTCTACATTTATAGAGTATTGTTATTAATATTCAGTCAGCTCTTTTAGTTGGTAGAATTTCTGTGCTCTAAGTTAATATTAAATTTGATGGATATAATTGCAGCCATGAATAAGATGTTTGACATTTTGTGTGTAATCTGTAGGTAAAACTACAGTGACTCAGTCAGTTTCTGATTCACTGAAGGCTGCCCTCTTAAAGTCACCACCCTCATGTGTTGCCCAGTGGAGGAAAATCTTCGATGATGAACCAACTATTATAAGAAGAGCATTTTACTCTTTAGGAAATTATATTGTGGCCTCTGAAATTGCAAAAGAATCTACCCAATCTCCTGTGGTTGTGGATAGGTAGGTATAAGACTGCTGTGAATTAGATATTTTCTTCCTTATCCCTAAGGTGTGTGTATATATATGTGTGTCTGAATATAATATGCATAATTATATATTCAATTGGATTGTTATTATCACAGAATGTCCATGATTTATTGATTACCAATGTCTTTATGTGGGTTTTTGTTTAGAGTATTACTTATATTATACTAATCCTCAGAATAATAACTGAGGACAATAATAAATAATTAAATAATAAATGGGCAATAAATATTATTTCCAGTTTACCAGTGAAAGATCTAGGTTACTATATCCTGGATATTAACCAAAGTCTTCTTCCAATTTCACTTCTTTGATTTATTCAACATTTGCTGGGAATCTACTATAGGCCAAAGACTTCTCTTGACTCAGTGTTTTCTCTGGTAAATGAGATCAATAATGCCCAGTTTTCATGACACAAGAATAGTTATAAAAGAGGATATAATGAACAAGTCAATAAACACATAGAAAATTTTCAAGGAATGAGAGTAAATCAAAGTAATAAGATAAAGATTACTGCAACCCCATAGATAGAGTTTAGGAATAATCTTTCTTTGAAGAGACCATTAATCTTACCCTAACACACCATCTAACCTCTGAAACATGTGAAAATTCTGGGCGAAAGGATTGTGGAGAATAAATACCAAAGGCTTAAAGAGAGATATTAGAGTATTTCAAGAATATAAAAGGCCAGTGTATATGGCACATGGGTAGTTGAAAATGCATTTGAAAGAATGAATTTGATAAAGGCAGGGTACAAATCAAGTTTTAATGAGTTCAGTAGGAATCCATAGTTGTTATATGTTGCCAAGACAACCATAACTTATAGCTACTCTATGAACCAGAGATTGAAACCTTTACCCTATCTTGTGTCATCTCATGATCTCTGACATAACTTCAATTATTATAGACGTTGTTAGGTCTAGTATGACTCATAGTGACTCTATGAACAACAGTTCTGAGCCCTGTCTTATCCTGTGCCACACTCACTATTTCTGGCATAATTGAGTCCAGTGCTACAGTTACTGTCAATCCATTCAGTTAAGGGTTTTCTTGTCTTTTTTTAAATCATATTTTGCACTCTTATTTTGGCTTATGTTTATTTTCTAAACTATACTAGTTTATTTACAAAATTTGAATACATTGTGTTTTTATAAATTTTATTTTATTATTTTAATGAACATTTACAGAGATTTTGGATTTCCAGTCATCCATTGTTGTACTTTTCTCCCTGCCCAGCC